TCATAGGCCTTGGCGCGCCACCTAGGCGACCGGTGCACGCGTTTCTGCCGCAGCAGGCCGCCATCTCCGCAGCCCCCGCCGTTCTGAGGGCGTCGCCTCAACCCCCTCCGCGCGCGAACCGGCGTCACCGCCCTGCGTGAAACGTCGCGTCTCGCCGTCGGCCGCCCGGCCGTCGGGTGGCCAGGTCATGGGCGAGGCCTCGCGCCGCGTGTGATCAGGTGTGTGAGCCGGAGCGCCTGCTGCCGCCGGCGCGTGTTGGAGCGAAGCCCCGCGGGGCGGGCCAGGGCAGGGGCGTGGAGCGAACGCGGCGGCGCGGACGTCCTCTGCAGCGCGGCGTGTGTGTTGCAGGGCTGGCGGCGCAGCTCGGGGCGCTGGACGCGAGCGTACGGGGCGGCGGCGGGAGCATGCCGGGCCAGGCGAGGCACTGCCTGCGGTCGTGCCGCGACGAGCGCGGCGTCTACCACTGCCCGCGGTGCGCGCGCCAGTACCGCCACAAGCAGTCGCTGTCGCGCCACCTGCAGCACGAGTGCGACCGGCGGCGCTGGCTGGCGTGCCCGCGCTGCCCGCACCGCACCGCCAGCGCCGCGCGCCTCCGTCTGCACATGGCCGCCGTGCACCAGCTGGCCCTGGCCTTGCCGGCGCTCGCCTCGGCCTTCGCCTCGTCGCAGTGACGCCCTCGGCCTGCACCTGCGCTTGCGCCTGGTTCCTTTTTTGACACACCCGCTCACACTCTCACCGCTTAAACATGATGTCCTTATCCTTGTTCTGTTGAGGTTCGTTTTTCAACAGCCTGCCGTTTGTGACGCACTTTTTTTCTACAATGCTCTGAAAGTGATATTTGAAGTGTATGAAATACTTTTCCCCTTCAGTTTGTGTTTGATGCAAAAGGAACGACTTTCAGAACATTATTGTGTATCTTTCGTCATCAAAATATTGGATTCATCTGACTTCCTCAAAGAAATAGCCTCAGGAAGTTACATGAAAAAACTTTCTGGAACATTTTATGGCGACTGTTGTCCTGGTTGTTTATGCAAAAGCATGCAGATGGTGCTTGTAAAATATTTCATGTCATTTACGATATTGAATGAAATGTATAATTTTGTGATATGTTTGAAAAAGCAATCTTATTAAATGGGTACCAAAGGTATAAGGATATTTTTTAATTTTATTTTTGAAATATAAAATCCAGATCTCCTTGTGTTACATTTAGTTCATCAGTTGTATCATATACAGTTCTCTTAAAGGTATGTTTATCAACACCTTGCCTGATGCACACCTCTTTTCCAGCCAGTGTGGATGAAGGCCGAACCTTTGCAACGGTTCCTGGTTGCCGAGTTCTGCTGGCTTGTCACCGTTGTGAGATGTGTGGTCGCGCATATCGTCACCGGCGCAACCTACAACGCCACCGCAAGGTGGAATGTGGGCAACCACCATTGTACCAATGTTGGCGGTGTCCCCACCGCACCAAACACAAGCATGATCTTCAGCGTCATCTACTTTCTCGGCATGGTATAACACTGACTGGTACTAACACTCTCCGTCTATGAACAGACACTGGTGCTGAGCCCTTTCTCTTCTCTCACTAAATTTCATTTTAATTTATTCCCAGGATTTCATTTTTCATTTTGTGAAACTACACATTAGCCTGTATCTGCTAGAATTTTATCTGGATTTTATTTATTTGTTCTCGATATCCTGCAGCAGCGTGTGGATTCAGAAGAAACTGTCATTTAGTACCAAGACCAGTAACACCTACACTGTGCTCTGAGCACAATCTTAAGTTTGATCTCTGCTATTCTCAATAAAGTCTTTGCAAAGCTAAGACAATAAATCATGACTGTTGTTACTTTATTACCTCATGAAGCCTTTCCAGTCCTTCAGATTCTGTATTATGTTGACCGCTGCATGGACCTTGGTTGCAGGCCTGATGCACACAGCAATGGGAGATGCTGCCATTGGAACAGTGCCTATGCCTATGCCTGTTCCATTGCCTGCCCCGGCCTTCACTTGTCATGGCTGTGGACGGGTTTACCGCTGGCGTGAAAGTCTTTCTCGCCATGTGCACCACGAGTGTGGTCAAGAAGCACGCTTCCAGTGTCCAAAGTGCCCAAAGCGCACCAAACATCGTTACAGCATGCTGCGACACGTACGAACACACCTTAAGGATGCAGCACCTGGGGATGCTGCACTTTTGCAACTTCTGAAATAGAATACCAGTTCTAGACAATTCTCCTGTACTTCCTTAGTAGGCCTCATGTCCTGATGAGCGTATCTTCTTGCTTCTCTTTATCATATTAAGAGTCTACACATTGAGATGCAACCCTGATCTGGAACTTGTCACTAAGTTCAATGAATTTATTTCTCTTATATCTGTCTGTTGCCAGAAATGCAAATGGGAAATATGTGTTTTGCATCAAATAGAGGTGGAAGGGAAATTAAATAATTTTTTATTAGTGTAGTAAACAAGCATTTCTTGATATCTGCAATCTTATTACAATAATTTTATGTTTAAAAGCGAAATGCAATGTAACAAATACAATGCAATATAATGTATATGTATGTGTAATAAAATGTACCCTGGTTATTTTAGTATGACTTGACACTTATATTCCTGAATAAAGTGCCCTAAATTTTGCTACAGCTGTGATTAGTAGCCTTAGAAACTTTCATTGATTTCAAGAGTTCGGGTTTGTAATGTGATTGTGTTCATTAACTACTTCCTTCCAGGTCATTTTCAATAATATGTTGCTTGCACTGATTTATTCTTCTTATGTTGTTTCTTATGTTTGTTGTAGAAGTGACTCTCCTCTTACATCAGTCTCTCTTTCTACTTGGACTACACCTTTGGAACTACTCAACAGTAGCAACAAAAATTATTTTGCAAGTTATTTGCATGTCTGTTATGTGGTCATGGATATACTTATGCATACAAACACATACATCCTGAATGTGGAAAGGCAGATGCATTACAATGTCCATTTTGTCCACATTGAACTCAACATCATAGCTTGTTACATTGTTTGATTAGGTATTATGTTGACCACTGCATCGACCTTGGTTGCAGGCCTGATGCAGGCAGCAATGGGAGATGCTGCCATTGGAACAGTGCCAGACACCGGCCCACCCTTCACTTGTCAAGGCTGTGGACGGGTCTACCGTTGGCGTGAAAGCCTTGCACGCCATCTGCGCCTTGAGTGTGGGCGTGAGGCACGCTTCCAATGCCCAATGTGCCCTCAGCGCACCAAACATCGACACAGCATGCTGCGACATGTACGAACACATCTCAAGGATGCAGCTCCTGGTGATGCTGCACTTTCACAGCTACTGGCATAGAATGCCAGTTCTAGACATTCTCCCTCTCTGCTGCCTTGTAGGCCCAAAGGTGTCTTGTGGCTTGTTGCGCAAAATTTTTTGCTCTTTACATTATGTAGAGTGTCACTGCTTTGAGCTGCTCCCTTGATCTGAAACGAGTCTTAATGAGTTAAAACAAATTTACCTCTTGATTGTCACTGTTTGTTACATGAAGAGTAAGACGGAGAACATGTATTTTGCATGAAACATATCAAGTGGTAAGATTTGTCGTTGAAGAAATCAAATAAATTTGTCCATGTTCTGTGATTTCATTTTGTCTTGCCGCTTACATTCCTAAATAAAGTGACATAATTTGCCAAAAGCTGTATTTTGGGGTTATTAAAAGTTCCAAAGTGATTTTGAGGGTGCAGCTTTCTAATGTCAATCTGTATACAAATCACTTCTAACCATGTTATTCACAATAATGTGGAGCTGCCACTGATTTTACTTGTTTTGTTTGTTTCAGAAGTGCCTCTTGGTCCAGTCTCGCTGCCTTCTTGGCCTCTGCCCCCACAACAACCACCCCCACACCAGCAGCAGCAACAGTTATTAGCTCGCAAGTTATTTGCGTGTCCATCGTGTGGCCGTGGATATACTTGTGCATACACTCTTCGAAGACATGTACGCCTTGAATGTGGAAAGGAAGCTGCGTTACAATGTCCGTTTTGTCCACGTCGAACTAAACACCGCCATAGCTTGTTGCGTCATTTGCGTCAATGCCATCCCTTGCCACCTTCTCAATCTTCTGTGCAAACTCCTGATTTTTCTTGTATCTATAAGGGAGAATCCATTTAGATTTTCTCCCTTTTTCAACCCTGATTTTTTTCATCATTTTACTCTTGTATTAACTGTAAATGCTGATGTACATCATTCGTTTCCTTTTCTTCTTCAGTTTCATTTTTTAAAACTTTCTTTTTTTATTTTTTGGTCTGGATTATTGCTGTTTTAGCATCAGTTAACCTTATTAGTACTAACTCGCAAGCCTGTGGTTTTTAAAGTTGCTGCTTTTAAACTGATTATTTCAGTCCCTTGGTACTGATTGTGTTGGTCCCAGGGAATTTGTGTTAATGAGGGTCTTCTGTAGTCTTTTTAATATGCTTCATACTTCTTTTGTTTTAATGCCTTTGATTGTGTTCCTTTGACTTAATTTGAAAATTCTATATTTTTTTTTCATTTAAGCCCAAATTATTC